ATGATATTGTGGTCATTGTTCAAAAATGTCTGCTATTATTATGAGTAGTATTATTATAATTAGTATAATGCGCTTTCTGTCTTCCTGTCATTATCAGGAGTTAGACATGTAATGGCTATGTATTAGATTAGATTAGAACCTTCATTCTCCTAAACTGCTGGGACATTTCCCTATAGCCAATACCTTTTATATTTTCTACTCTTCACTTACTTGTCAGCATAGATCGNCAGCAATGTGTCAACAACTACAAACACATTTCTATCAGTATTTCTCTGTGTTGTGGTTGACATGATGACTGTTAGGAGTTAAGGGGAGAGGCTGAGCATCACCATTAAATGTGCAAATTGACATAAAAAGATGCTCAGCCTCTCCCCTTAACTCCTAACAGTCATCATGTCAACCACAACACAGAGAAATACTGATAGAAATGTGTTTGTAGTTGTTGACACATTGCTGACAGAGGGAACTACATTTGAATACAGATTTAAGAAGTATCAGTTTTTGAGCATGTCATAAGCATGTTTTGTCTTGACTATATTACTACCAGGGTTGGAGGGTTACTTTGTAAATGTAATCAGTTACTGATTACTGAATACATGGCTCTGAAAGTAATCCGAATACAGTTAGTTACGTGTCTTAAAAACGTAATCAAATTACTTTTAGATTACTTTTGGATTACTTTCTTTTTCCATCACAGATGGGTATGTTTTGGTGAACAGGAGACACAAAAAGCAAAAGGAAACTGAACGTGTTTTTACGGTTTTAATGGCTTATCAAGAGCACAACTGAAACATAACATCTGAAACGATGTAACAACATAATAAACTTTTTNCCCATAACTTTGACCCAGTTCATCAGTTCATACTGTCCTGACTGAGCACACGCACCTGTAACCTTGGCTGCTGTGCTCTCAGTGTTCTGTCTCCCTGTTCCTGCCTGTTGGCATCAGCTGATAGAGGTGTTATGATTCTATCTTGTTATGCAGCATGTTGATTATTCTCTCTGAACTAGCTGAATACATGGGTCTGGGGTAGAGTTCTTCAGAATTGACGTGGCAACTGTACCGTGAAGTCAGAACCTCTGACTCTTTGACTTGTTTTGTGAATTCTCCGGCCGAAGCTCCAAATAAACCCATCAGTGTTTGACATCAAAGCTCCAGCTCTCCCCGTGTCTCCTTTGAGTTGGTGACTCCTCCTGCATTGCTACACAGAAGTTTCCCCCACAATACCTATTGGTGTATTACGTGTTCATCGCTATTTAGCTTTATTTATCCCAAATCCTTTCAGTAACTAAAGTTGTTAAATACAAATAATGTGAAAAAAGTACAATATTTGCCTGTAAATTGTAGTTGAGAAGAATAAAGTGTTTAACATGTACCTCAGCAGTGTTGGCCTACCAAGTACATGACTTGGATAAATAAAGGCCTACTTTGTTAAAATAATTTTAATGACAAAATATTGATAATATTGCACTCAAACGAGATGTGGGAACTTGGAGAATTTTAGAGAGTGTGTTGCTTTTTACTTACTTTATCTTTGTACACAGTGTAAATTAATAAAAAAACACTAATCTAGTTGTTGAACATGTTTCTGTTTGCTGTAGGGAGGGAGATGTTCCCTCGTTTCCTGCAGAACAGGAAGTTGTGCCGGGACCTTCGCAAACAGACCTCTGAGTGCTGGCAGCTGCAGAGCCAGTGTGAGGCCTGTCAGGGAGCGCTGCTCACAGGTGAAGCTCCACCACCAACAACAACAACATCAACACCACCCACACACTCTCAATTTACCTCAGCTGAAGTGTAGGAAGACTGTGATACAAGTAAAAGCCCTGCAATCAAAATGTTATTAGACTACAAGTACAAAAGTATTAGCATCAAAATATTTTTCAAGTACCAAAAGTAAAAGTACTCATTATGCAGATTGGCCCATTTCAAAATAATATGTCATTATGTTTTGATTAAGCGTTATCAAAGCTTGTAAAGGTGAAGCATGTTTTAATCACTTTTTATACTCCAGGGTAGCTCGTGAATTTTGACTCCAGGTGAAACTAAAGTCTTATCTAATTGTTTTTTATATTTCACATCATTAATCCAAATCTGCAAAGTAACTAAAGATATTAAATCAATGTAGTGGAGTAAAAATACACAATTTACCTCTGAATTGTCGTGGTGTAGAATTACTAAGTAGCAACAAATTGAAATACTCAAGTAAGTTCAAGTACCTCAAAATTGCACTTAAGTATGTGTACTCAGTTACTTTACACCACTGCTTACATTAACCCCCCTGCCTGCTCCTCCTTCTGCCTCCAGAGTGCCCCAGCGTCCGGGACCTGCATGTGGAGCTGGACGAGGCCTCCCAGATGTTGGATGTTTCCACAGAGCAGTACGATGAGATCCTGTCCATCGTCCATCACCACACTGATGAGACCGTCAAGTGGCTGAGCAACATGGCGGCCGACATCAGCTGGGTGGCTCAGTCCGTGAACAGCAACACTCCTGAAAACTTCTTCAGTGTCAACGTGGTGAGGAGTGGAGGACATTAACGAAAAGAGTAGATTCATAGAGTGTATGGTTAGGAAAGTGAGAGGAAGTATTCAGGAAATAATAATCTACTAAAAGAATATTCACAAGTTTCATGAGTTGCTCTAACTTGGGAGCCTTGACACGTTAAAAATCAAAACACAATCCCCGAAATGCCAAATAAACAAACCAATGACCAACTGTATGGGGAAACCCTTTTAGTGAAAATCCAATAGGCCGAAAGCAATTTGATAATTATTGGTGTGTGACTTCTCCCATCCTGCAGGTGGCACCAAACACCCAGGATGAACAGAATGAATCTGAGACGGAGACCAAGGTGGAGGTGAACATCCTGAACTCTCCCCCAATCATCTTCTCTGTCCCTGGGGAGCTGAAGCTGAGGGGCCCCGCCTTCATCCAGTATGTGACCCAGGAGGCTCTGAGCAAGTACAAGGAAATGCTCAGGTGAGAGCTTTGATTTACCTCCATCACAGCCATCACCAATCACCTGATGCTTCTACTGTAGATTTACCTTTTCTTTAAAGACATGAATAAAACAGGTACTGGAATTTAGACAAGTGTGCTCAAACTTTAACTAAAGTCAAGTACTTTGTCTATTCTGACATCAATGAATTCTCTGTTTCTTCACAGGTACTATGAGGATGAGTAAACTACAGTCTCCTTTTCTAAACTTCTACCAGCACTTTCTTTAAGATTAGAACTAGCTTGTGCTCCTGTATGCAAACCATGTCAATCATTCCTATTTATTGAATGTAAAATGAAGAAAATGTACATACCTGTTGTAAATTGGTGGACATAAATACAATTAAATACCAAAAGAGCCTTGAGTGATTTATAAAAGGCCACATTGAGCTTCTTGGAGCCGAGTTGTTCAAGACGTGGACATCAAACTTGGACATCGCAGGCTGATCTGAACGAGGTTGGATGTTGCTTGCAAAGAACAAGAGAAGGCTAAATGATTCCTTTGAGGAACAACTTTTATTTTTTCTGAACAAAATCATATTAGTTATTCTCAGTAATGTCATTATCATCTCCCCACCAGTTCAAGTTCCATTTTCAGAAACAATCACATATTAGCTTGTGAGTGAAACACAAAGAAAAACAAAAAAAATTCACATCTTTGTCCGATCCTTATTATTACTTATCGAATGACAGTAAGATTTCCCATCTCATACCGCTGGACAGACAGTGGAGGTAACCTTTTATTGGACTTTTATATTACTTATAGAAGCACCAAAGCCCTGACCGGCCCACTGTGTGTGTACGGTGTTTGTTTTGTCTGGTATTAATATCTCCACCCCAGAAGTGATCCATCATCTCTACAACTGGGAAGTAAGAAAACCATAAAGGGGAGCTAGAGAGGAAAATGCCATCTGAGAGCTGTTGTTCCTGAACACATGGCTGGTTGACTTTGATTAATACAAATTGTGTATTAGGATTTAGATGAAAGGATTCCCTCCGTTAGACAGAGAATTCATTCGAGTAAAGGCATGTTAAGTTTTAGTTTTGTGGTATTTTACTGAGAAGAACAGAAAGAAATACTACAGCAGCATGTATGATCTAACATAATCCTTCACCAGGAATAGATGGGAAAACTGCCATTTTAAAACTGTGCAACTTTGTTAAGATTCTTTTACAGCAATCAGAAATATGCACCAAGATGCTTATTTCCGATAACTACTCAAACATACTTCAATTTCACAGCTGATATTCAAAACATTTATAAAATGTTAAACAGGAAAAAAGTTATCGCACATGAATATTATCAAAATAGCTGTTTATGATTTCAAGTCCCCGTTTAAATTAAAAAACAATTAAAAAAGCATATTAAAATCCGATGTGATTTGCCATTCAAGCGACCGTATTAAATATAATTTGTAGGATTTCTAAACACGGCCTTCTCATGTTCTCACTCATCCACCTGATCACACCTGCTGAAAATACATCTTTGCACGTACTGTGTGTACATCTGCTTTGATCTCTCCGTACATTCGTTCATCCGTAAAGTACAACCAGTCCATTTACTCCTCCTCCTCGCACCTTCTCCATCACAGCTTCACAGGCGCAGCACACACTGACATTTCAACCATAGTTGTTGGTCAACAACATCACCCATCAACCTGCATTTCAAAACCAAACTCATGTACATACAAAAGATCTTGACTTCAATATCAAAGAACTGTGTAAAATAAATTGGGGTTGAATTAGATGAGAGGGGGCATTTAAAAAAGTAAAAAATGGTGAGTCAATTTAAAATGAGAAGACAGCCCCTCTCCGTTTGATCACAGTGTTGTGGCCGGTCCATGTGGATTATTCTGATGAGCAGGCTTCCCAAAGCTTAAAGTACCAGCACCAATCTGCACATTTGGACATTTCCCCAAACATTTGGTCCCCGATTAGCCAAGGGACGTCCCTCTACTTCAGGGAACATTTTCTTCTTGCTTCTGCAGATAAGCCAGGGTGGCTGTGGACTAGTTTGTAGCTTTGACACCTTGTCTCTGCAGCCTCATCAAGGCTTTTTCCCATGTTGAAGTCCTGTGTTGTACCCGGCTTTGCTCTCCACTGATGTATGAAGCCAGAGTTCACCCCCCCCAAAAAAATCCCCCCCCCCAACTAAAGGTTGTCCCCGGGCTGGTACAGTGGCTCTGTGGCTGTGAAGTAGTCTTCCAAAAAGGACTGGATGTATTCGAAGGTTGGTCTCTCATCCGGCTCCCTCTTCCAGCAGTGCCTCATCATCTCGTGGAGGGACTCGGGGCAGCCCTGGGGGCAGGGCATGCGGTACCCTCGCTCCACCTGCTCAAGAACCTCTCGATTCACCATACCTGGAGAGAAAATACAACAAATGCAGTGTGAATGGACATCTAGTGTTTTTAACCATAACACTTTCCCATGTGCATCACTCATCATGTAATACAGTTGGGTACAAAACATGACCATCGTTTTCAAGTAATATTTAACATGTGTACAGAAATGAATTGGCTCAACAGTTTCCTAAACATGTAGGTAATTTTATATTGATACATACTGTATCAAAACTAATAGGGTTTTTACATTAGTTATAGTTTTGTAGCTATTATTTGACGAGAGAGATTTAGATTACATTTCATAGAATGCCACTTAAATGAACAGCTACACGGATTAGTGTTAACAATAATCATGTTAATGTGACTTCCCTCTGTGGGTCAGTGGGAGTTCATTAGGAGAATGAATGACAAGTGGGACAGTTTTCTGGCGAAGAAAAATTGTGCAAATCTTATCAGGAAACAACCCACTGCACAGCCTGAAGCAGGAGAAACATGTTGGCATCAGGCAGCTTAGAGAAGAAGCCCATCCACTGTGTGAAATGAGAAAGATGAAGGAAAAAACAACCTAGGTGGAACAGTATTTCCTGTAAGGACCCATACAGGGCAGAAACATTTACTAAAACCGAACCGACCAGTCATATTTGGCTAAAATAAACCCTTATAGGATTTTGCCACTCCCACAGTGCTGCTTCTTCTTCTGGCTTTTCCTGCACTACTAAAGCACCAGAGACGTGGATATCTTCTTAAGACAGGAAGACAGTGATCCTGAACCCTGTGACACGGCGCTGAAACCGCTCCATGGGGAGCTGAACAGCAGCTAAAAGAGGTTGTGACTCAGAGACAGTGGTATGGTCCCAACCACATCCTCCCACTGCGTCTCTCTGTGGGAGAGAGGGGATCAGATGATCTCAGACTCTGGGGGAGAGGAAGGGCCCGGAGCGACTGCTGGGACCCGGATACGATGGCAGCGTGGGCACTTCGGATGCTGAGGTGTTAGCGTGATTTATGTCTTAAATCTGAAACCCTCAGCTCTAATAACGTGCCTGTCTGAATAGCTGAATGAGTGTGTGTGAATCTATATATAAGAAGGACTGAAATAGAAAAAAAGAACGATGTGTTCCCAGGCTTGCTGCGTGATCTCGGTATACGTGCCTCATATCGCTTCTTTAAAACAAAAGAGCAGAAATAGAGATGCCTAGAGAGGAGGAGTAACTACTTTTTATTTATTCATTTATTTTACTTTGTACTTCTTTGCTTTGAGTGCTGTCACATCAGTTTAATGTGTCTGAGTTTAACATTACATTATTACATGTTACTTGTTAGACGCTTTTATCCAAAGCGTACATACTCAATACTGTGGACAATCCCCACAGGAGCAATTTGGGGTGAAGTGTCTCAGGGACACAACGACATGCTGACTGCAGTGGGGTTTGAACCTGTGCCCCCCTGATCCCAACACCAACGCACTAGTCTACTGCGCCACACGCCTCCCTAACAGTGATATAATGTACTTTTTTCTGTGTGTGCTTGTGAATGTGGAATACAATTCATAAAGACTGGGGGGAAAAAAAAAAAAAAAGAGAGGCCTAGAAAGACTGCAACTCAGCAGGACAGAGCCACACATGTCCCGTGAGTCATACTCCTCTTTTAAGAAGCGAAAAGAGGGGTTCAGCCTCCTGAATCTGCAGCTCTGGGGCGAATAATTAGACCAAACGGGTTGCTCTGAAACCAAAGAGGGCCCTGGGAACCAGATGGCCTTCTACATGAGATGGTGGTTAAGTCTGCCATATGGCACGCTCTGTAATCAGTGCCACAGACACACTGCAGCACTGCTGTCCTCCAGCAGGGGGCAGACATGAGGCTGCACACCACAGGAAGCGGGAGATCATGTGAGAGATCAACTTTCCCATGCATTAACAAGTCATTACACATCTACGTATCATCTATATGTAGTTATGCATTATGTAACATCTACATGTGTGGGAAAGGGCTATTAATAAAGGACGATGAGGATGAGTTCAATTTCAGAATCACCCTGAGGCGAGGTTAATGAATTATTCCTGTTTCCCATGGAAGTTCAACCTATTCATGACCGCAGGGGGCCAGGAATATAGACAACAGCTTCATGTCAAATGAAAAGGGAAAAAAAGACATAAAAACAGTTTTCTCCTCATCATCTGTGCTTCTTTATCGTTACCTGGGTACGGCACTCTGCCCTTGGTCACCAGCTCAGTCAGTAGTATACCAAACGACCAGCCGTCAGATTTGATGGTGAAGCGTCCGTACAGAGCGGCTTCAGGGGCCGTCCACTTGATGGGAAACTTAGCACCTGGGAAAAAAGAGAATAAAAACCAAAAAGGATTCATCAATATTTTCATCATGGATTGATCTGACCTTTGGGGCATTCATCTTCAGTTAAAACACTAACTGATTGTTCATTAAGTTAGTGAAACATTGTGATATGTGATGCAGGTACACTGAATGTACAATGAAAGTGTCAGCATGTGCTCGTGTAATGAATTATTCTCATTTCTTTATTTATATGCCGATTCTCTTTTGGTTTAAACAGTCAAAAGGTCTATAAAATGTAAGCAATTACTTGATATCTTCTCACACTAACACCAAACATGTCTTATTCCAAAAGCACTCCTGAATGCTTGAAACAGTTTTAGCTTAACCAGTGTTGGAGTGACACCAAAGGTTATATTGAAGCACCAAAGAAGGCCTGAAGGGTTCAGAATCACTTTCTCATGTATTTATAGCTGATGTGGTTCTTAGGAAAGGCAGACACACATGTGCCAGTTCTTAATACAGACCTTGTCTGGCGGTGTACTCGTTGTCCTCGATGAGCCGAGCCAGGCCGAAGTCGGCGATCTTACACACCAAGTTATCAGCCACCAGGATGTTGGCGGCTCTCAGGTCTCTGTGGATGTAGTTCATCCTCTCGATGAAGGCCATGCCGTCTGCGATCTGAGACGGGAGCGGGCCATGCAAAGAAACGGGGATTGGAGACAGAAAATACATGATGATACAGATTTCAATCAATTGAAATGAAAATAAAATGATCAATAATTACTTTTGAATAAAACACTGCACGTTTTTTAATATAGCATGTATCAACACAAGGCAATTCAAAGGGCTGTACAAAAACATTAACATATAGGGCAACAGAAACACCTAGTCAAATTACAGTTAAATAAACTTAAAAACAGTCATTACAAATCCAAGATACTACAAATGAAACCATCTAAAGTTACAAACTACAATAATAATACTCAATTAGCGGGGTCATTGGCCTATCATTCAACCCTAATATTAGTTATTTAAATACGAGATTATATGCAGCTGCGACAACTGGACAAATCTTTAACACGACTATCTGGATCTTTAACCCGCCTCGGTGTAACGCTCAAACACTTTCCCCCTCCGCTGCTGAGTGAGTAGGAAGAAGCCTGGGAATGAGCGGAGGCGAATTAAGAGCAGATCGCGGTGGGTTAGCGCACCCGGCCGGCTTAAGTGGCCTCTGATGAGCGCTGCTTAAGTGCTACTGTGGCAGTTAAGTGGTGAAAAACCAGGGCAGGCACACACAGTGAAGGGGGAGGGTAGAGATATTAGATAGGATATTAAATAAATATGACAGCCAGACGGAGACCAAACTGAGACTGAATATTTGACTGATAAACACACGGCTGGGAAGTTTCCCACATGGAGCTTTCTTTGTTTTGTTGCTGATGCATGAAAAGTGCTCCTCTCACACACTGAGTTAAAACAGCAGCCGGGCAGGTGGGAGGCAGAGGGAGTTTCTGTGTACACACTGTTTTATAAATCGTA